GTGGCTGAGCCAGAGCGGCAGTTTCTCTGCAGACCCCGGGTGGTTTCATTCTTGCCGTCACCTCCCCAGTCTGTGTTTCTGGGACTGCCCCAGTGCTGCGCACATCTCAGGTGGTGCTGAGCCCCCCTGGCTGGAGAGAGCAGGGAGGATCGCCGAGAAGGTCGTAGGGGAGGGCTGGGGCAGAGGGCAGAGCCTTGCAGAGGAGAGCTGGCCTTGGGCTGGTGGCTGGGTGGGTTGCACATCTCTCTGGGCATTGACCTGCCATGTTGCCGCCTCTGTTGCTGGGATGGAGCCAGCGTTGGCTTGGCTGTGGCTACCTGCAGTGCTGGACGGGGCTCACCAGCCAGAAAAGCTGTGGTTGGGGTGAGCAGAGGGGCTAGAGCTCAGTTTTGGGTTCGGGTGGCACCACGCTTGGGGCTGTGCAGCGGCCAGCAGAGAGCTGCCGCCTCAGTGGCCAGGGGCTGTCTGTGTCTCCAAAAGCTCTCCGGGAAGAAGAGGCAGCCCCTACCCTGTGCTGTGGGTGCATGGCTCCTGCTCCTGGGAGCTATAGGGGACCTAATAGCCACTTGCTATAGGGGATTGTATTATTTTGGTGACACTGGAACCCTGGTTGGGGCTGTGGGGGAGCCAGCACAGCAGGGGCGATGCCACCCTGGCATGTCCCACCCCCTACCCGTGGCTCACCCCGAATGCCAACCTTTGCCTTCCCCACCCCTTTCCTGTTTGCAAAGGGGAACTGATGGGCTCACTCAACGCTGCCCACTGCAGCGCAGCTTCCCACTGTGTGGCCGAGTCTGCTGGTGGTCTTGGCCATCAGGTGCCTCCCAGGTCTCGTCCTGTCCCTAGTGCCAGAAGCAGGGGTCCAAAACTGCTGAGCCACTGGGGAGCTGCTCCTGGCACAGTGCAGCACCTGCCACTCCTGGCTGAGACCCAGACAAAAAATTAGGTGTGTGGGAGTGGCACACCCCAGTGAGACCCTGAAACAGCCTCCAGTGCCTCGGTCAGTGACTTGTGTGTCTGCCCAGGCAGTGTGGCATGGCCGGGCTCCATGGCTCATTTTGAAGAGGTGACCTGCCCCATTTTCCTCAGGAAGTGGGCTGGCTGGCTGGTCCCGTGCTGGAAACACTGGTACTGACTGAGCCTGTGCCCCATCGTGCCAGTGTTGGGGGCAATGGAGCCTGAAGGGGCAGCCACAGGCATTAGGGTTTGTGTGACAAGATGCTGCGCATAGCGCGGCAGAGGGCTTGGGCTTTGCTGCCATGCCGGGGGCACCCCGGGCATGTTTTGGGAAGCACCCAAGGGTGGATGTGGGGAGAGGTGCTTCCCAAGCTCCTCTGCACTAGCTTTGCCGCCGCATGCTGGGATGCTTGTGATTAGTTAGCCTGTGCTGGGGGAAAACCGAGGCATGCCCCCACATAGCCACAGCACTGTGGGTGTTGTAAAACCCTAATGGCTGTCGTGGTGGAGGTGGTGGGGGCTCTGCCTTTCGAGCTCTGCCCTAGCCTGGGGCTGGCGTAGTACTGGCAGCTGCATCCCTGTCCCCAGAATTGCCGGGACTGTGACATCCTAGGGCTGGGTGATGCCTTGTTGCTGCTGGCTGCTGAGTGGTGCCTTATTGCTGCTGGCTGCCAGGAGAAACTGCTGCAGTGGCTGCAGCAGTGCGGCTGGGGGCATTTCACCTCTGACCCCCTCACAGGAGGGGGTGCTGTCCCCCTGGGCAGCCTTCCTGGCCATATCCTGCCACCCATGTGGCCCTGGAGCCAGGCAGAGCTGAGTGCCCGTGCCCTGCTGTGATAGCCCTGAGCCGCTGTCATGGACCTGCCTCTTCCTCCTCCTTGTTACCACGTTCTCCCACTCCTCACTGTCACGGGCTCCCCCACGCTGCTCCTCACTGTCACATGCTGCCTGTCCTTTGCAGCAAAAGCAATGATTGCAGCAAACCCAGAGCCTGTGCCTGCGCCCACGCATGCATACAGGTGTGCTAGAAGTGGTGTTTGTGGCTGGATCCCACCTGGCTGTGGCAGGACCCTGCCCTGTCCCCTCCTGGCATGGGGTAGGGACTGCTAGGACACATGGTTTGTATGTCGTTTTGGGGGTGGCAGCTGGATCCACTGAAAGGCCACGCTCCCTTTGCTGGCTGCGTTGCAGACTGTGTTGCAGCCTGGGCTCAGGGCAGCTCTGGGCTCACCACCTCCTCTATGTGCTCTTGCAGCTGAGAGGCTGGGGAGGGTATGCGGTGGGTCCCTGAGTGGCAGCACTGGGGACACCAGGGCTGTGTGAACCTCTACTGACTCTCTCAGACAGCATGGGGACCAACCACAGCCAAATCCTGCACCAGTCCCAGCGGGGAAAAGCATTGGTAGGGAGCGATAAGGGCTTAAAACATCCCTCTCCGAACTTGGGGCTGCAAGCTGGAAGAGGGCTGGGGACATCCCGGTGCATGCCCTGGGGGGCTTGGGGAGGGGTCAGGCATTTGGGGCAGCTGAGGCTTGGGGAGCACCCCAGGTGGGGTTTTGGCTTCTTTGTGACCTCGGAGGCTTCTGCTACTCCTGGTGCTGTGGCTGTCTCTTTCGGAGCTGTGGGTTAACACCGGGGTCAGGGGCTAATGTGTTTGCAGGCTGGTGGGCGCCTGGGTGCCACCTCTTGCAGCATTTGGGCTGGGTACAGGAGCGTGGAGCCCGGGGCCGTGGTTCTCTCCTGATGCCCTTGGTGCCCACTGCTAATTCGCTGTTAAATGCGCCTTGTCGTTGTGTGCCGGGATCTGATACAGCCGCCGTTGCGGCTAATTGCAGAGGAGCAGCTGAATGGGGCTGCCGGCGGTGTTTAAAGAAGATACAATCAAAGATTAGCCAGTGCCAGAGCTTCTCTGCCACCCTGCTCGGCAGAGGCTCGTAGTTGCATTGCAAACACTAATTAATTGAGCCTTGTAAACACTGCTGTGAGGAGGGTAAATATTGGCAGGTGCTGCAGATCCAGGAGGGCAGAGGACAGGCGCCCAGGCTGCAGGGGTGTGCTGCAGTACAAGGGGATGATGCTCTGCCTGCTGCTGCCGACTGCCCTCGGCCCCACCTTGTCCCCTCTGGGGGCTGTGGGGGCCTGGCAGGGCTGGCTGCATCCTGACCATCTGTTCCCCAACCCCGCAAAGAGGCTGGGGCTGCAGTGCCCAGGTAATGCCACCTCCAAGAGGCAGTCCTGGTGGGTCTGGGGCATTGATGTCGCCTCCAAGGGAGCTCTCCTGGCCCCAGCTCTGCCTTTGGCTTCTGGGGAGCTGCAGCAGGTCAAGGCTCTCCCAGGCGATGCTCTGGGGATGGGAAGGAAGCGACCGGCAGCAGTGGTCTGCTGGAGACTTCCAGCCACCAGCACGGCCATGCCCAGCGGTTTCCTCCCGAATCACATAAAATGCCCAATGCCCAGGGTATGGTGAGCGATGGACCTCATTTACTCTGCTACATCCAGCACAGTGTGAAACCCAGAATGTCCCATCTGGGCTCTGGGCTCTGCTTAGCTCCTGGAGACCCAGGGACTGGCATCGCCGGAGGCAGGGGGTGTGGCTTTGGGGGACCTGGGGGCTGTGGGAGCTCACGACCCTGTGGTCTCTGCAGAAGAGCGTGAAGGAGGGGCTGTTGCTGAAGCAGACGAGCTCCTTCCAGAGGTGGAAGAGGCGATACTTCAAGCTGCGGGGCAGGACGCTCTATTACGCCAAGGATGCCAAGGTAGGCTGGGGGGTGGGCGCTTCCAGCATGCTCAGCCAGGGGCGCTTGAGCCTGCAAGCCCAGGGAGGAGCCTGATGTCCCTGCCTGGTGGAGTGAAGCTCTGGTTTCTCCCCTGCAGTCCCTGATCTTCGACGAGGTGGACCTGTCCGATGCCAGCGTGGCTGAGACCAGCACCAAGAACATCAACAACAGTTTCACGGTGAGGGAGGTGTGGGGCTAACTGCTATGTCCCTCCACCTCAATGCCTTGGGAGGCACCGCAGACTGCCCCCTGCCCATGGAGCTGTGGGGTACCCTGCAGCGTGGCCTCGTGCTGCTGGAGGTGGCACCGGTGGTGGTGTGCCAGGGTTTGCTGGGGGCAGCTCTCCTGGGGGCCAACTGGCAGCGGGGTGGCCTTGCAAGGGGACACAGGGACAGTGGCTGTTGCAGGTGATCACGCCGTTCCGGAAGCTCATCCTATGTGCAGAGAACCGGAAGGAGATGGAGGACTGGATCAGTGCCCTGAAATCTGTCCAGAAGTGGGAGATCCATGAGGTAACATGGGCAGGGGTCTGCGCGGGTCCTTGTCTGCAAGTAGGTGCTTGTCTGGGAGTGGATTCCCCTCAGGAGCCAGGGGTGCTTTGGGCTGCTGGACAGGAGCTGCTGCCCTTGGCGCAGCCCCGCAGGGAGAACAGGCGGTGGGAGTGGGGCTGGGGGAACTCAAGGGGGCTAGGAGGGAGGGAGTGCCAGCTGGGTGTCCCAGGGGACTGAGAGGGCAGGGCTGTGCTCTCTGGCAGGCCACGCAGTTCAACATGGAGCACTTCTCGGGCATGCACAACTGGTATGCCTGCTCCCACGCCCGCCCCACCTTCTGCAACGTGTGCCGTGAAGCCCTCCCGGGGGTCACCTCCCATGGCCTCTCCTGCGAAGGTCAGTGCCGGGGTCCTGCTGGGGGTGGGCTGGGGCAGGAGGGATGCGGGGTGATGCCCACTGGCTGCTGTCACCAGCTGTGGAGGGGTTGAGGACCAGGGCTGTTCATCCCTTGGGGACTGTCCCTGCTCCTCACCTGCTCCCCCACCCTGCACAGTCTGCAAGTTCAAGGCACACAAGCGCTGTGCTGTCAGAGCCACCAACAACTGCAAGTGGACGACCCTGGCCTCCATCGGCACTGAAATCATTGAGGATGAGGATGGGGTAAGCAAGGGAGTCCCCACAGGGGACCCTGGCAGGACAGAGCCACCAGCAGAGCCGGCCTTGCTGTGCCCAAATCAGGAGCAGCGGGTACCCTGGCACCTGGCTGTCCCCTGGACTGTGTGGCCTCTGGGCTTGGCTCTGTGGAGACATAGACTGGGGACACCTCCTCTGCCATCTGGCATTACGACCCTTATTGCTCTCCCGTTGGGGCCACCCCAAAACCTTTGCTGGGGACACACCTGCCCTGTCTTATGTGCTGGTGGCTGCAAGGGGCCAGGCAGGCAGCAACGAGAGGGCACAGGAGGGGTCCCGGGGCTGCCTTGCCCTGCTGTGGGGCATCATCCCCTGCTGACCTCTTCCGTGGTGCCTGGGGAGGGGGTGGCCCGTGTCACTGTCCCTCAAGCGTGTGGAGGCGGCAGGGGTGGTGTGCCGTTGGCAACTGCCTCTCTCTGCAGGTGACCATGCCCCACCAGTGGCTGGAGGGGATCAGCGCGCGCTGTGCCGTCTGTGACCGGACCTGCGGCAGCGTCCGGAGGCTTCAGGACTGGCGGTGTCTCTGGTGCAAGGCCATCGTAAGGATGTGTCTGGCCCTGTCGCCCCCCGTGGCACAGACAGCACTGCCCCTCTTGGGTGCATTGCTGGGAAAACTGAGGCTGGGGGCTTTGGTGCTGTGTCCCCTAGCTTTGCTTATGCTCATGTCCCTGTGTCCCCAGGTTCACAGTGCCTGCAAGGAGCTCTTTGGCAAGAGGTGCCCCCTGGGCCAGTACAAAGTGTCCATCATCCCGCCGACCGCCTTGAACAGCATCGATTCGGATGGTGAGTCCTGAAGGGGACAGGGCTGGGTGCAGGTGGGGGGCGACAGGCTGTTTGGGACAGGGCTCTGAGCTCCTCTGCAGGCTTTGACTTGTGACACTGTGCCCA